GACAAGAACTCATGGGAAGAAAAGTCTGCACCCCAAGCCCCACATTTCAATACTATATATCAATTGTATTTGAAAAATAACAAATGATTTAAATAAAATAAACTTGGTGACACCCCTCCCAAAACAATAAAAAATGCAAGAAATTAAAGAAACAGAACTGATGGTTGCCAGAAGTGATGGAGGTGGGGAGATAGGCAAAAAAAGGTGAAGGGAATTAAGAAATACAATCTGCCAGTTATAAAATTAGTCACAGGGATGTAAAGTACAGCATAGGGAATATAGTCAGTAATATTGTAATAATTATGTATGGTGCCAGAAGGGTGCTAGACTTACCATGGTGATCATTACTTAAGGTATATAAATACCTAATCACTATGTTATATACTTGAAACTTATATATTACATATCAACTATAATTAAAAAATAAATATTTTAAAAAGCTAGGACATGAACAGATATTTCTACACTCATGTTTATAGCAGCATTATTCATAATAGCCCAAAGGGGGAAGCAACCCAAATGTCCATCACTGAATGAACAGATAAAATCAGGTTGTACATACAATAAAATATGACACATGCTACAACATGGATGAACCTTGAAAACACTATGCTAAGTGATATAAGCCCGTTACAGAAAAACAACAACAAATAGGGTATTATTTCACTCATATGAGGTGCTTAGAGTAGTCAAATTTATAGACAGAAAGCAGAATGGTGGTTGCCGGGGGCTGGGAGAAGGGAGAATGGGAAGTCATTGTTTAATGTGTATAGGCACCAAGGCTCTGTTTTCAGTCCCCTTCTTTTTTTTTTTTTTAAATATATTTTATTGATTTTTCACAGAGAGGAAGGGAGAGGGATAGAGAGCTAGAAACATCGATGAGAGAGAAACATCGATCAGCTGCCTCCTGCACACCCCCTACTGGGGATGTGCCGCAACCCAGGTACATGCCCTTGACCAGAATCGAACCTGGGACCCTTCAGTCCGCAGGCCGACGCTCTATCCACTGAGCCAAACCGGGTAAGGCCAGCCCCCTTCTTATTTTACCAGCCTTCTCTAGGCAATCCCTTTGGGTCTTAATTGTCCAATTTTCAACAAGGTGAGAGAGGTATGTTTCCCTGTAAAGTGGTATCAGCATCAGGGAAAAGCTGCCAAGTACATTTTCTTCCTCATTCTGATTTATATTCGGTACAGCTGCAAAATGAACTGCCTTCCCTTTCTTCAACTGTGACTTCAGAGGGTAAGGACTAAATCTTCCTCATTTTTACCTTCCCAATACCCAGCACAGTGCTTGGGAACACAGGACATGCTCAAACATTTGAATTAACTCTAGGTCAGCACTGTCCTATAGAACTTTTTGCAATTATGGAAATGTTTTATTGTACTACCCAACATGGTAGCCATTAGTCACATGTGGCTACTGAGCACCTGAAATTTGGCCTAGTACAAATAAAGAATTGAATTTAAAATTTTAATTTATAATTAAATAGCCACATGTGGCTAATGGCTACTATATCAGACAGTGCTGCTCTAGAAATCCCTCTGGGTTATACTGTCTCTAGTCTGTCTCAGGTTATTTTTTAATATTTTTTTAAAAGACAAGAATTAGAAATACCCTGATTCACTAGGGTTGGATATTTGTCCCCATAACTTCCTTTTTTAAAACAATCTTTATTGTTGACAGTATTACATTGGTCCCCCCCCCCATTAACCCTCCCGTCCCCCCACACCCATCATTTTCACTATCAGAGAACATAAAACACTCACGCAAATTCTGAAAATGTGGGCTTATATAATCTCATTGACAGATTGACTTTTCACGTGTTTCTCCTCAGCCTAACGCACTGACACCATTTCACCCAGTTCCCGGTGCCCAAGGGAGAAGAAGGCGCCCTACCTACCATTTTCACGATGTAGTAGGCCATGGCATGTAAGTGTCGGGTGGAGTTCCGCTCCCGATCACAAAGTAATCTGTGTATCTCATTTCGGGAGGAACTCGGATCACACAGATGTCTCTTGCATTCTCTTGCCTCAGAAGCGAAACCAACATATCGATGTCAAACTTGGGCCCCGTGTGATCTGAAATGCACCAAGTTTTGCTCGTGTCAGGGGGCCCAGTCGGCGTCAAACACGGGGTGCACCCGGAGCCACGGGCCCCTGACAGTGGAACCGCTGCTGCCGGGCGGGACTGAGGTCCGAAAGGTCTTCAAAGACAGGGCAGGCCAGGCCGCCGGAAGGCCGCCGAACCCGGGCAGGGCTTCCATCCAGCACCGCCCGGCTTTTGTAGGAAAGATGCTCAGGGCGCACGGAGCCACCACACACCCTTTGCCACTGCGTGTGCAGAGAGCCACACCCCAGTCCCGAGTGCCTTTCCGTGACTAGTCCCCGAGGGAAGGAGCAATGAGCCTCAGACACAGAACCGGCGCAGAAAGGGAGGGAAACGGCACGCGCGGGGCGGGGTGACAGCCCAGGGCGTGTGGAATCCAACACCGGACACAGAGGGTCGCGGAACCACGATCGTGGGCGGGAAGGGCTCTCGCCGTCTGCGTTACCTGGTCCACGGCCTTCGTCTGAGATGAAGGAACCCAGGCCTCGCCGGGGAAGGGCGCGGCCGCAAATGAACCCAGGAGAGCGCTAAACATTTTAAAACGGCTCTTCTGTTGAACCCTCGAGTTTTTCTTATAAAGCCCCTTGGGTTATAGAACTGTTACCTGTGAAAATCTCTCTCTCTCTTTTTTCTTTCCTGCAGAGATTTAGATATTCCGTTCCTTACCCTGGAGCAAGGCAGCCAGTGAATTGATGACTCCCTGAAGTTCCACCACGGCCCGCCGAGGGCCCGGGCTAGTTCCCCAACACCGCCCCCCTCGCACACCCCTCCCCTCCACCAGCTTTCGCAGATGCGCTCCCGGACCGTCTCTCCAGTTTCTAAAAGCCTCCAGCGGTTAGGGGACATTGATGCGCGCGGGTCCAACGGCGCTTCTTACGCACCCGCCGGGGCCCGGCTCATCCCCAGAACTCTCGCCCCGACCCGCTAGCGGACCTGGGGACGTTTGGCAGGACCCCTTGAGGAGGGTGAAAGCGGGGGGAGTGGGCCCCGCTGGAAAAGCCAACGGTAACCCAGGGTTGCCGCGTCATACGGGGACTAGAGGAGTCTGAGCTGTTAATGGGCATTTTGTTGGAAGCGTCCTCGAAAATACTTTTTAGGTGTAGGGGAAGGCACATTTGGGGACGATGAGGGAAAACCCTCACACACCTCTTTTTTTTTGGTGTTTCGTCGCATTAGTACTATAGTCAGTCCCTCCCCCCCGCCCCCCTAGGGGGGAGGGGGTCGTTTCCCTCTCCTACTCTTCTTTTCCCCCC